TCAGAATTAAAAATAAAATCTGAATTATTTTCGATATACAACAAAAAACTAAAAAAAATAAAAATGGTACAAATTTTTTTTTTCCAAAATCTATTGTTTTGTTAAATCAAGCTGAAAGTTCTATGAATCATTTAAATTGGACGCTTAGTTCTCTCAAAAACTGCCGTTTTTTGCATATTTAGCTCTGTATCTTCGAAATGGCTGGGCCTGCCATTGCCAAAATTTAATAATCACTTCTCCCAATCCTTACTAATTGAATGTTTTTCAATTTATTCAAATCGGATGCTCCGTTCACTCGATTTCTATTTTCTGCACTCTTTGCTCCGTATCTCCATAACGGCTGGACCTGCCTTTGCAAAAACTAATCAGCACATCTCCCTATCAATAGGAATCGAATGTTTTTTTTTACGAAAAATTGTATCCATATATACATACACACACACATCCATTTTTTCTGAGGTATGCCAAAATATTCAGAAACCTTCAAAACGTCGAGAAATGTAAACATTTTCAATTTCGATTTTCGGCCCATTACAATAACTTGCCCTACGGGAAGTTAAAAAACATTCGATTCTTATAGATAAGGAGACGTGCAGATCAATTTTTAGCTAAGGCGGGTCCAGGCCAATTCTGTTTTTGAGAGAGATTCAAAAAACATTATATTTGAAACCAAAACATTATATTTGAAAAAGTAATGAAATTTTTGGAGAGACAAGTCTAGCGGTTTTTGAGATCCAATGAAAAAAGTAGAAAATGCTATTTGGAGGTCCAAAATGATTGTACGACATATGCACCAATGTTTACCCATTAGACTGCAACGCAGCGCTTACGCGCTTCGTTATTTTATCTCTAAATTTAAAAAAATTAATTTGCAGTACGGAAAGTTCCAACAATTTGCCTCAAAACACGATGCGATGCACCCCTAGTTTCTTTAAATTTTTAATCATAACGCCAATATGTCTACAAATTTTCATATTGCAACATAACCTGTTTCTTCAACAAATGGTCATAGTTTATCCATTTAGCAGCCTATACATATTGACAGAGGCCCTTAATTTTCCCAATAGTTTGTTTGCGAAAATCCCATGTAGCCACTTAGAGGAAATCATCGTGTCCGTGTCAATAAATCACATATAAACCGTTTTAACCCAAATAAGAAAGTACTTCCACTGATTTCCCGTTACTTTGACACCAGTATAGTTAGTGAAGTGGATACATTTCTGAACTAGCTTTTCGCGTACAATAGACAAAACGAACCACTTGACAAGGGTCTGTTGCCGGTTGCCGTTCCTCGGTTGTCGGCTCTCGGCGTTATCTTCGAAGAACTGGGACATTTGACAATGGTCCCCCTTTCTCGATATCTTTAATACTCGCGGAACAGTTTATACAGACGGAAAGTTTATCTTGCACTTTCGTTCTGATAAACGGTTTTGATAGAGGAGGTTTTATTGTCGCACGAACTTTTCCCCAGTGTCATAAGTGTGTAGGCAGCCGAGCGACTTACATGTATCTTGGGCCGGGAAACTTATTCGACACTATATGTTCGCAGGCAATATCGAAAAATACTTCTTTGCAAAATATTACCGCAAACAAGATGTGATCACACATGTGGGGCTTCTAAACATTTATCACTATCGTGCCTTACCCATGCTTTGCAATTTATTTGAATGTGACTGACAATAATAAAATGTCTGTCTATTTCTAGTTAATTAATATGATACTGCTATAGGGCAGGTCCGTGAGCTGACTTCAACTGCAACTCGATTCAGGAAAGGATAGTTTGAGAATCATCTCATTGCCATTTTATACCGCAGTACCCGAAAACAGAAAATGAAAATTTTTGCATATATTTACTTTTCAAAGGTTTCTAAACATTTTGGCATACCTTAGAAAAATTGGACGTATGTGTGTGTGTGTGTACATGTTTGAATACAATTTTTCGTCCACGATTTGTTGATTCAAAAAACATTCGATTCCTACTAATAAAACGTGCTGATTAGTTTTTGGCGAAGACAGGTCGTTTCGAAGATACGAAGCAAAAATTGCCAAAAACGGTAATTCAGTTTTTGAGAGAACGGAGTACACAATTTAAATGATTCGAAAACCATTTTATTTGTATTGACAAAATGAAGATTTGATAAAATTTTTGATCAAGCAGGGCCAGCGGTTTCGGAGAAACAGAGGAAAAAGTGAAAAAAAAATTATTTGGCGGTCAAAAATGATCGTTAGACATATGCACATCAAATTATCAGATATTTGATGAAGTTTTTCAAAATGAGTACTAATTTTGGGACAATTTTCTTGGATTCCGTACCAAGAAAATTTAATTTTTAAAATTTACTTATACGATTCAAGCTAATTTCAAAATTTTCAGATAAAAATTCTTTTCAAAATTTTCAAAAATATACAAAGTTTTACACTCAAATATTAATTTCAAATTTACAATTCAGTGTGATAATGTATATATTTCAAATGCGTTATTCTGATCGTAAGAAATATATCCTCAGATGGATTTATTTGGCACCTCTTGCTGATGCAAAGTTTTCCAAGTGCTTTGAGCAATAAGATCGTTAATGTATATTGTATGAACGATAAAATATATAGTGCATATAATTATCTATTTGAAAATGTGTAAAACAATTCTTATTAATCATTGATCAATATTTAATGAATACTGATTTTTTTCTCTCGAATATTTAATTCTGGTACGGAAAATTTTAGCAATTTGCCTTGAGGCAAGATCCTATACACCACTAGTTTGTCTATATTTTCAAGTGAAAATGGGCATCGTACTGTATCTGGTTTTTAACTTAGCCATTACGCCCTGTTTTATTATATTATTAAATATTTTATTGATATTGGATAAACAATTTAAAAGTTACCAGAAATATAATGAACATGAATTCAATTTTGTAATAAGACTTGAAAAATAGTGCATTCCAAAAAATTCCTGTTGTTCAAGAGTATACTGAGTTTATGAAAGAACATTTGATGTTCCACGAGGTTATATACCTATATTTTTATATTTAACCGTTCAAATGATACGGAAGATAAACAAAACTGGTGCATATTATAAAATAATTTACACGTCAGGAGATAGTTTAAAAATCAAGTCATTTTCACTAAAATTAGAGCAAAATATAGTATATGTATATACATATACATATATTTATATATTTTATATAAGGTTGGGTTGTTGGAGATTCTAAAATGTTTTTTTTAACAAAATTCAATTCAAGAATGTATTGTCTGAACGTGGGGTGACAATGTAAGTATAAGTTCAAAGTTCTGAGGTATAGGACTCTCATAGGACGTCTTAAATTACAAAAGTAAAAAAACTATAAAAAATGAATACTAAAGTGATAGAATTCAACTAGAAAATATGACCAACATTTGTTCAGTGTTTTTCAGATATTATTATTTTTTTGGTTACTGTTTTATAATATTGAAGTCCTAGTAGATTTTCCTATGATTTCCTACTAATATCTTATCAGAATATTTCACGGTTTATATTGTTTACAGTCTTTGCTCATTGTTTAGTATAAACAGATCGCATAATCATTAGTCAGTATCGATAAATATTTTATTACCCATATTTACATACTTTTACTTCTATAATTCATATTTTTCCAGAAGAAATAAACGGAGCTACTAATGTTATGTATGAATTTAAATTTTGTGTTACTTAATTTGCTTACTAATAATATCCTGTTATCATAACTATATATGTGACGCAGAAACCTGAAGAATAAATCTGGATTTCACTGGTAATATTAGTTGCTGATATTCATCACGACGTTAATAAACAAATTTGCATTGGAAATTCAATTTAGTCAGCAGAAACTTTCATATATTATATTGAAAATGCACTAAATGCAATTAATATTTATGAATAAGGCCAACTTAATAGCTATTGCAAATGGTTTTCCTCTCACATAATTCATATTACACAGAGTAGTAGTAATTATAGTTATTATATAATGAAAAGAAAAATAAATATTTAATTAAATACTGCATTGGACATGTAATTTAGGTTATGAAATGTTCTACTATTTTAATGATACAAGTCGATATAAAAATCATTACTCATTGACATGTTGACATTACTGTTAATATTTGCCAGCAAATATGAGAAGAATATATCACCTAATGTAATATATTTTATAATAGTAGTGATTGTAAGAATAATTTTGTTTATTGTTAATAGTAATTTATGAACCTCTTACGCGAAAATGTAAGTATGCGATTGTTTGAGTCAACTAAAAAATTGCGTTGTCTTTGTCACTTTGTTTTACAATTTAATTCCATATACAATATACTAATTTAAAATTAATACATATACTTATTATAGTTAATATTGAAAATTAGAGTTAATTTATATTCTTATTATACGAAAATGATAAATATTCTCATAGTACCTACTCGAAATCCGTTAACTTCGGACACGAATATTTATATTAAAAAGTACACGGCGTCTCCACCGTAACATTCGCTTTGATCTAAATAATGAAATTATGAGTCTCCAGGTAAAAATAGGAATAAAAAATATTCTCCGGCTTTACGTACTTCAGAGAATTAAATTAAAATATAATGTTTTATTTGATATATAATAAAGAATATTAGAAAGTACTTTATGACAACAATGAGCTTATTATTTTCAAAATGGTTAAAAATGCTATATAGAAATTAATTTTATGCTTATAAAATGGAGATAATAGTTAATTGTGTAATAGGATATTATTATTTTTATAAAGGTTTTTTCAAACTATATGTTTGTAAGAAAGATAAAAAATATTTTACAGAATATTTTAATCAAGTCTAAACATTTTAATTTATTCATAGTCTGAAATATTATACACGTACGTTAAATATAATAAATAATAAAAAAAATTAAATAAATTGTTGGTCAATAAAAATCTAATTTTAACTACAAGCTCTATTTTTTATATATTTTTTATGTTTTATTTATATTTATAATGTAAATACTTTTCTTTTTCAGGATGTCTGCTCTTAAGTTTCTGCAGTTGGCCTTCGTAACCGCCTGCGTTTGCTGGACATTAGGTGAGTGCAAATGATATTTTTAATAAGTTTGCATATTTTGATTAAACAAATGCTTATCACATCTGTTACAAAAGTTGTGATCATCTACATTACAAATAAATAAAAATGAATAGATTTTAAAGCGTGAAAAAATTAAATAATATATGATAACCAATTTCTCGATTTCGTAATATTTTTCTTCATAGAAAGTTAAAAAATATACCATAAGTTTGATTATCTTTCACTGGCATTCTATTTAGTTACACACAAACGTAACTTCCTTATTTTCAAGTAATAGAAATTCATTAAATTAAAAGTGATTTAAGTCGCATATTTTATACGAGTCTTATACTCATCCTCACAAAAATTTACTATGCAAAATATATTACTATAAGTGATATTCATTATCATGAGTACTATATTTTTATACTTTATTTCTGATTATTTATATACTTCATAATTTTATTGTTATCGTCAAAACAAAAATATTATATCCGCATAACATATTTCAAATTTATTTAAAACTTTTACGAGAATATGATGTAAGGATAAATAAAAATTTATGATTTCATCAGTCATGATAAATTTAAATCAACAGAATATTAATATTAGAAGTATAAACCCTGAATCCTATTATTTCAATGAAAACAAAAACAGATGTAATAAATAAAGAATATTAGCATACGTGATATTTGCATTTTAGTACGTCGAACAGAGTATGGTTTGTAGTGCTTTACTCATAAAAACTATAACTGTTAGTTTGGAATAGATTTCAATATAATATTAGTTGTACGTTTCATAGTAATAAAAAATATCGCTAAGGATATAACGTAGATGACTGTTTTAATATTTTAAATATTGCGAACAAAGGATACTGATTGGGCAAAATAATGCTTTTTGCACTTTGTCATCGGAGACATATGAATTAATACGAAATAAATACATGGTCGAATTATTCGTTTATAATAAATTTTGGAAATTGAAGCTAAAAAAATGATAATGAAAACATGAATAATAAAGATTGAAAAGTAAAAAGTGTATTATAAACCAGGATGGAAAATAAATTAATAAAATATTCGTTATAGATTGATAATAAACACTAGATAATACTTACTAATAAACTTTGTAGTGCTTTTTTCCCTAAAAGATGTAAATATCTGTGATTGAGAATTATCCTATACGTTTTTTCATGCTTAACATTAACTAATAAAATTAGGAATTTTATTCTATACTCAAAATTTGCAAACTTCTGACACTTGCCGACACACTTTAGTACTTATTTTTAAAGAAGGCCTTTTAAAAATAGAGCAATTAACAACACTTAGAATTCATAGTTTAATAAAAAGTCGTATTTTTTGAAAACTTTGAGCAAGTGTTTCATCATTTGTGACTGTGGTTTTAAATTGGGTTTAACAATTACAGATCCAGCGTTTAAATACAGGGTCAATACAAACTAATGAAAAATTGTCAGTTTCACAAAGAGTACGTAGAGATTTTTTCCTAAAAACTTTCTACGATCAAGAAAGAACATCAAGCTTTTTTTACAAATGATACTGCACTAGTTCATAAATCAAACCTGTTTGTTTGACTTAGCTTAGAAAATTATTCTACCGTTCCTAGTTTTATTGTTTTTTTCTGCAAATTTGGGTAAGAGACGTCTGCTTCAGGTAACTTGGCTTTGAGTATGCAGTGTTTCTTCCTTTGGAACATTATTAAGCAGCACCTCCTATTATTGTTTTTTTTTTCTTAATTTAAAGTAATAAAATATATAAAGATAAAGCTTGTGTTTTTGAATTATAATAAAAATCTTGCTTGATATTGAATGCAGATGATAATAAAATTACTCGATAAGAGAAAGTTTAGGAAATTGAAACTATAATATCAGTAATGAAAACAAATATTGAAGTTTGAAAAGTAATACGTGTACTATAAACAAAGCGGACAACACAAACTATAGGCTAATAATAATGATAAAACTCAAAGTATGTTTCATAATGCATTTCTCTAAATGATGTAAGTGTAAAAATGCCTATGATAGAGAATAATCCTACATGTTTTTTTGCGATTGCCATCCCACTAGTTTAATCTAATTGGTTCGGCTCGGATTAGAACTTCATGATAGATGAATGTGAATAGATGATAGATGATTTTTTTTTCATATCAACTGTGAATTTCAGAGTAGGTGATAATACAGCTGCACACTTAGTAGATAGTTTTTCCAGATAGTGTAGCTCAAGCCTGTTTTTTGTGGAAGTCATAGAGTATATTCACAAATAAATTCTTTTGATTGTAGATAATGAAGAATAATATTTTTTTTTTTCATTTTGTAACAATGATTTACATGAATATATAGACGTTTCAAGTACTTCAAATAAATATGCTTTAATATTTTTATTAAAGTAGGTTTTGAAACTGTCAAAGTTCTAACTATAAATATAAGCACGAATGTTATATGCATTTGACTACATTGTAAATATTAATACTTCTTTCCTGAACCAGCTTCGATAATACATAGTTCCTGCAAGTGATACTGCCTTAGTGAGATGAACTCCGCTTTTCCGGCACTATAAAATGATACATTATAGTATTTTTTTATTTTATTTTATTTATGACCTTGAATTGCTAGATCATATGTTATAGTACAATAGATATTTTTTCATTTGCATCAGGTTACTTCACATAGAGTACGTAGTGTTTCTCCCCTAAAAACTATCTACGATCAAGAAAGATCCATCAAGCTTGTTTTTTACGAATGACACTGCGTTAGTTCATAAATCAATCCTGTTGTGGAATATCGTTATTTATTCTTTTGGCTCGCGTAGCAATCCGTGCCCGATACCCTATGCTCGGCTTGTCCCGCCGTCCCGCCGTGGCGCGAGTAAGCCGGATCGCACGCATACGTTATGCGGCTGTGCGCCTCCGTACGCGCCCGTACGCGGCTATGCGTCATAAACCCAACGCGATTTGCCGCTGTACAATCACGTTTTTTCATAAGCCCCAGTGCAGAGGATCAATCGGAAAATTTATGGCAGTACGTACCTGGTATAAGAAATAACTACCGTTGGACACTATGTCTGAGGCAAATTGATGCAGATTTTCGTATACTAAACGAATATATATAGATGTAAATCATATTTTCTTTGATCATGTCAATATTTTTAAGAAGGAATAGCATCTTTTTTAAAAAAGTTGTGCCTGGAATCAAAACAAAAATTTGGACAAAAAAAAATTAGAAGATAAATCGTATAATCAAAGATTGATAGAAATCAATAATATAATATTAAAAATAGGTAAAAAAGAACGTGCATCAATTGTGTTTAATATTTGTAGAGTGATTTTCCATTATCGATTTATTCCGACGATATTATATCTCGGCTTCAAAAAGAAATCTTACAATTGCATGCCACATTTGAGCATTTTTAATTTACTTTGGCAATAAATAAATCAATAGTTGTTCAAAGATGTCTCAAACTCAACTTTTTGTTTAGCACAAAATCAAAGAATAAAAAATACATTGTTACTAGATTATAGTTATTTATCTATAAAAGACACTCATGTGCATACTTATTCGAATTATTAATGATGCATAGTTTATATTAATTATTATTATTACATTTATGTCGACTGTATCATGTTCTAGTAACTAATAAGTTTAATATGGTACCTCAAGGAAAATTGCTGGAACTTCTCTTGCCGAAATTCAAGATTTTTTGAAAATTTTGAAACTCATTCAAGTCGGTTGATCCATACAGTCAAAAATATTCAGTTTTGAACTATATAAATGAACTTTAAACACTAAAAATCTTAGTTTGAAACTCTCATAAATCCAAAACTAGTGGAGCGCATGGCATCGTGCCTTAAGGCAAATTGCTGGAACTTCCCCAACCAAAAATTATTTTTTTTAAAAAGATTAACATTTTTGAAAAAAAAAATAACTCCAGAAAAATTAGATTTTTAAGAAACTATAAAGTTTTGACAAAAATTTACTTTTTTTAAAAAAAAAACCTTCTGAAAAAAAAAATTATTTTGAAATATTTTGGAAATTCTGAACATTTTTTCATAGCAATCGTACTGCTTTAACTGCTTAGAGACGAAATATCGAAGCGCGTAAGCGCCACGTCGCCGTCTAACGGATAAACATTAGTATAAAACCCATAGAAATGTAAACATAATTTATACTTATTGTTAAAATCTCTATAAAATATCTGATAATTTGATGTGCATATGTGTAATGATCATTCTTGACCGCCAAGTGGCATTTTTTTACTTTTTTCTTGATCTGTGGATAATTCAATCAATTATTCTTTCCATCAATACTAGTAAAATGTTTTGTAAATCATTCAAATGGGACGCTACATTCTCTTAAAATGTTAATTGTTAATTTTGGATCCGTGCCTTCAAAACGGTTGTTCTGCCTTTCCCAACACTAATCAGTACGCCAGCTTTGTAGAAATTTAATGTTTTGTTCTTGCAAATATATACAACATGCGCACATATATACATCCATTGTTATATATAAAATAAGGATAAATTATACTTGTTTATTTTCTGGTAATTTGGTAAGAAAAAAAGTGAAATTGTGAAATGTTTAATTTGACTAAATTTTTTTAGAAAAAATCAAAAGTCAGAAAACTTTTGAATTTACTGAAAAATTATAAACACGAGAAAATCTTTAAATATTGAAAAACAAATAAGGTTATAATTTTTTTTGAGAATTTTTATAATTTTTATGGTTGATTCCAAAATCTCTAACGAAATCCCGAATGTTGTGCAGGAATGAATTAGTAGAACCAATTAATCAATTTATCAGCAAATATTTGCATTTTTATATAACTCAAAAAAAATTCAATATCGAAAAATAATTCGGATTTTAATTCTAATTCTAGCAAATGTTTTGAACTTATATACTTCAAATAAATAATTATAACTTTGCAATTCGGTTTATATAATTCTTAGAAATATTAGACAATGTTCTTCATTTTAAATCCGATTGATTAAGTTTTGTTTTTTTTACTTTTTAT